AGGTGATCTGGACACTGCCTGAACACAGCCCTTGACTCAGCATCTTCTCAGGCACGTAAATTTGTCATTCTGACCAATACGTAACTAATCATATAGTGGTAAAGAGAGTAGTTTTTATTTAATCCTTTAATAAAACTCAGGAAGACTGGGAGTACCTTAAAACCTTAGCTATTTTAGAACAAATATATTACATTTTAATGAAGTTTTAGAACTACATCATTTCAGCTGACTTAACAACTATAAAAAGTCAAATTTATAGTAATTGAATCCATATTAATTTTTCAGAAATAGTGATTTGCCAAAAGTGCTATCAGACTCAGAAGCTGTCTAAAGAAACAAAACTGAATTTCCCAAACATTCCATTCCTGGGCATTACTGGCATGCACCACCATCCAACACCAGTACAGCCTGTGGGCAGATATCGTTAGGACTTCAAGTCTCCTAAAATGAACACAATGAGGAGCCACTCCTATACCAATGATGGATACTGGAAATAAAATTACATTTGAATTGTTTGCCTTACCCAGGTTATATGAATAAATGTTTTACCTGAAACATCACAAAATCCAAATCCTGGGTATAAGTTACTCATACATGTACTTCTCTCTTTTAAATTACAGACTTTCCCCAGTTTATGATATGGTTACACTCCAATAATCCCAGCACACATTGAACATTTTGGAAGTCAGAAATGCATTCAGGGCACTGAACTACCAAACAACATATCTTACTTAGCCTAGCCTACCGTTAACGTGCTCGCAACACTTCTGTGAGCCTATAGTACAGACGGGCAAAATAAAACAGCACACAGCACCCATTTTATAAGAATACTGTAACGAAAGCAAAACAGGAATGCTTCTAGGAGTATCGAATGGTTGTTGTGTGTTGGTTGTCTACCATCATGATCGCGTGGCTGACGAGAGCTGCGGCTCATGGCCCCTGCCCAGCGTTACAAGAGAGCATCCAAAGGCCTATATCGCTAGTCCAGGAAAAGATCCAAATTCAAAATTCCAAGTATGGTTTCTAAGAGAATGTGTATCACTTTCGCACCATCATAATGCCAAAAAATCCCAAGCCAAACCGTCATAAAACCGGGCCAGCTGTACTCTTCACCACCGTCAGATTCTCATTACCTGTTATCTGCATGTGTGCTTCTCTTTCTCTTTATTTACACTGTATCTTCTTCCACATCTTAGTCTTGTTTTGTAAATCTTAAGATCTCTCAGAGCTTCAAGATGTATCCTCTTATTTCCATCTAAAATTCACAATACGGAGTGGAAAAGGACAAGGAATTGGGTGCTACTAACTAAAGCTGACAGGAAAACAAATCATATCCTAGGAATGTGACCCACGGGAAAGGGCCATTTATGGTAACATTTATCAAGAACACTTATATGAAGAGCAAAACTGAAAGTGCATCCAAAGAATCGTTGAAGAATGTAAAAAGTTTAAAAAGGAAAAAAAACATACATTCTAATGTCTACAAATTTGTAACTCTGGGACATGAAACGCATTATTCATTTCTAAGCAAAAGAAAGACAAATACATCACATGTACCTGGTAGGGGTTGGGTTTGCTTAAGAAAACTTCTGAGATTTGCCTTTTCGGGTTCACATGCACTTCTTAACTACATGTACTATTCAATCTCGAGTTTTCACAGGAGCCCCATTAATAAGACAGACAAGGCCTGGAGACTACAGAGCGGGAAGCAGTCCACTGTGGGGGTTACTGGTTTACATTAACTGGTCTAGTTAAATAAGATGTGCAGACTACCTCTGGCAATACAGAAGTAGATTTGCATTCTCAAAATTTTAAACAACGAGAAGTGACAGGAAAGAATCGGCTTAATTTTGACAAAGTCACACCAGGAGAAAGGGTTGGAGACATGAGTGGGAAGTGAGGTGGAACCACACACTCTTGGCTTAAAATACGGGAAGGAAGGTAATGGGTGAGGGGGTGAAAGGGAAGCCACGTATCTGTTTAATTGTTGACAGACTGCTTAAATCCGTCTTCGCGGGAACAGGACTATAAAAAGGATTTCACACGCGCTTATGAAAATCACAAGTTTCAGGACAAGGTGCACATTCCCCTGCAGGCACTCAGGGCATCATCTGAAAAAGACTTAAAACACGACTATTTTAAGGAGACTTCTGCTTTGTATTCCCAATGAAATCTAAAAAAAACACAGGTCCAAAATGAACAAAAGCCAGGGATGAATATGATATGAAAAGTCAATAGGTTGAGTTTTAAAGGAAAATGGCTATGATTTTAAAAGAATAAATGGAAGTTTAAAACTCAGATCCAAAGCAATAAAAAGCAAAAAAGACAATACAGAAAATCAATCCTGAAAGGTAGAAGACAAATCGGAGAAATTCTCCAAGTCATTAGAACAGAGGTCGGCAAACTACAGCCTGAAACCCAAATCCAGCCGGCCGTCTGTTTTGCTATGTCCTGTGAGCTAAGGATGGTTTTTACAGATGAACGTTTGTAATCAACTAATAAGGAACTTTGAACCCCAATTAAGCAAAAAGTTACGTCTCCCCAAAAGAATTATATTCTGCTCATTAAATCAGTATTACCAAAACAAAACACTACTCAATTATTATATTTTAAATTGCATCAATAAAAAATTTATAGAAATTTGTTTTCTCTTGTTATATAAATAGCTACATAATATCCTCGATTTTGCCTCATTCTACAAAGCATAAAATATTAACTATCTGGCTCTTTACAGAAAAAGTTTTTGACCTCTGCTTTAGAGGAAAGAGACAGCTCTAAATGCTAGGGAAAAGATAATGGCTCAGGGGTCAAGGAGAAGAAATCCAACCAAAGAATAATGGGTGTTTCAAAGAGGCACCAACATGAATGGGAGTTATAAGCAAAGATAGAATTCAGAAACTTTTTTCTGATGTAAAGAAATATTTAAATTTGGTATCAAAGGGGCTTTCAGAACTTTAGGCAAAAATAATTCAAAATGACTCACACCTGGACAACCCTTAGCAAAATGTTTGAATTTTAAGGTTAAAGAAAACAGTTCTAACAACATACAGGCAGGGTTGGGGCAAGGAGGAAAGGAAAGGTTGCCCCTGAAGAAATGAACAGCAGGCTGGCCTTAGACTTGCCCTCTGCAACAGTAAAACCACATGGCATGGCAGGGATTGTTTTACCTTACTCTTGAAAAAAAAATTGTGACTCAGGAATTTCATATTTAACTACACCTGATGGTTTATGTCTAAAAGTCCTAAGGACACTCTTTCAGACTCAGGAAAAGACTCAAAAAAATCTAACACCTACCCTAAGTTTCTTAATATGTGTGAGCGTGTTCTTTCCCAGGCAACAGAGGGGAGGCAGTAGGAGTGGAAGTTTCAGAGCAGGGACTCTGGATGGAGACCTGAAACTATCCGGAGTCCTGGCTCTCCATGGACAAATTAGTTCAGCTCTCAGTGCCTCCATTTCTTCATCTGCCCAGTGGACTAATTAATGGACTCTACCTCAGAACGACACAGAGAAGATTAAACGTGAGCTAGCTCACATTTAAGTGCCTATAGTGGCACTTTGTAAATACTTAATAAATGTTGTATGTTGTTGTTGCTACTATTATCCTGCGCACTACGGATGAAAAGAAATTAGGGACCAGGAAAATTGGGGATTTAAAGAATTATAGCACCGATGATCAAAATGACAGTTAAATAGTCAAGTCTGGATATGATTATAAACATGGTAAAAGTAAAAAACAACTCTTGAAAAAGAAAAACATAACAAAATATTGAAATTCACTAATGATACAGTTCTAGAAGACTACATTTTAGAAACTGGGGGTGGGGGGACATTAGAGTCTAAATATATTGTTTTTTTTTTAATATACTGAAAAATAAGCTTAGTTTGTAGATTTTTAAATTAAATTTAAGTTCCAAACACATAAGAGCATAAAAGCAAACAAAACAAAGTTCACGATACAATATAGCAAGGAAGCATTGAATGCAGAATACACGAAACACCTATCAGTTGCTAAAATAAATGTAAACCAGAGGCGCCTGAGTGGCTCAGTTGGTTAAGTGCAATTTTGGCTCAGGTCATGATCTCATAGTTCATGGGTTCAAGCCCCATGTCAGGATCTGTGCTGACAGCTCAGAACCTGGAGCCTGCTTCAGATTCTCTGTCTTCCTCTCTCTCTGCCCCTCCCCAACTCATGCTCTGTCTCTCTCTCTCTCAAAAATAAACATTTTAAAAAAAATCTTTTAATAAATGTAAATTATTTAAATTCTCTTTAACCAGGGCAAAGAACTTAAAATAGAGTCAAGAAACAAAATGGAACAGAAAGATTAAAAATTAAGAGAGAAGGCAAAGATAATGAGAACAAAAGCAGAGTTAACAAATTAAAATTAGGTAACATAAAATCTGAGCAAAAACCAAGACCTTAGGTCAATTTGCATGGATACTGATCCTATAATGAAACATCCACGAACCTTTCCTCTTTCAGGAATAGAACACCAAAACATGAAAATCAAAAGCTGTGAGAAATGAGGAAGAACAAAAACACACTGGAACAGAAGACTGTAAGACACAGCATTTGATCCACAAAATACGGTTGTGGAAGATTTCATCTACAGGGTTGGGTTACGAACCACACCAACTCCATATCCACCAAACAGTATTTCACCTAAGAAAAAAATGTCCACGAAAGAGTCTGAATGACTGTTCATCTGTGAAACAAAACAGCATAAATATACTGAAAACATTCCAAACGCTAGAAACTACTGAACTTTAATAAATACAAAATGCCATCTGCCTGAAAACTCAAAAAGCATCTTTATAATAACATATTTCTTTTTTTTTTTAACGTTTTATTTATTTTTGAGACAGAAAGAGACAGAGCATGAACGGGGGAGGGGCAGAGAGAGAGGGAGACACAGAATGGGAAGCAGGCTCCAGGCTCTGAGCCATCAGCGCAGAGCCCGACGCGGGGCTCGAACTCACAGAACGCGAGATCGTGACCTGAGCCGAAGTCGGACGTTTAACCGACTGAGCCACTCAGGCGCCCCTATAATAACGTATTTCTTATAAAATAACAAAAAGGAACTTATAGATTGCAGCCAACACTGTGCTTATAATTAAATTCGTACACTTAAAGGTTTCATTATAAAGTTTTTTTTTTTTTTAAAGCAAAGCAAATATACTAAACAAGTTATCAAGAGGAGGGGGCCTTAAGGAAATCTATTCATGAATAAGGAGATGTTAGAACATACATTAAATAATGGACAGGAAGCTCAAAAACCTCAATGGTATTTATATTAGTGAAAAACTAGATGTAATCTAAACAACAGAAAACTGTATTGATTTTAGTGAGAATTTCCAGTTAGATTTCTTCTGTGATTAAAAATCATATTTACACATATTTTAACGCAACGCTACAAAGTCTTTAAATAAAAAGGTGGCATATAAAATTTTATACATTAAGTAATACCAACCGTGTGAAAACAAAAAGAGAAAACACTTAAACATAGAAAAACCACAGTTACATCTACAGGTTAAAACATGGATAACATTTTTTAACATTTTTCTAGATTTTCCCTATTTTGTAAAACGGGTAATTCATTACTTCGATAATCAAGGAGAAAATCACACTATTTTTAAACTGAGTGCCCAGTATGAGAATGCAGCTCTCACCTTTTCTTTTTTAAACTGAAGTATAAATGACATATAACATTATGTTGGTTTGAGGAGCACAACAACAATTTGACATTTGTACACATTACAAAGTGATCACCACAGTGAAGTCTCGTTAAACATCCATTACCACACACAGTGACAAAATATTTTTTCTTATAATGAAGACTTTTAAGATCTACTCTCTTAGCAACTTTCAAATATGCAGTACAATATTATTACCTACAGTTCACCAGGCTGTACATTAAATCTTCAGGACTTATTTATGACTGGAAGTTTATATTTTCTGACCCTCTTCACCCATTTCAACCACCCTCCAACCCCCACTTCTGGCCACCACCAAGCTGTTCCTTGTATCTATGCAGCTCTCGCCATTCATATTAACACTACTCAAGCTCCTACTTCTGCTTTAAGTACTATTAATTATGCCTGGACATTTAGGGGAAAAATTGAGCTTGTTACTCAGATTGTTAAAAACAGAAAACTGAACTTGAATAATTTACAGAACAAGAAACATGTTATTTTCAAGTTTGCTGAGATCAGTGATCAGTAACTGTCCTGTGCCTACTAAGTCAGTGCTACATTTCAAACCACTCCCACTGAAACCCAGTTAAACCTACACATCCCTCCATGACACTGGCTCTCACAAAGAGCTACACGATCAGGACTTCCCATGTGACTCTTCAATACAGCTTATGGAGCTATTTTTCCGTCAAGATGCCAAATGTAAAAATAAGCCCAGCTATTTGGAAGCTGTCATGTTTTATTCGAAACATTATGATTTCCCTATAAATCTGTGATTTCTAAAGTCTGAGGAGATTTGAGGCATTCATTCTTAAATGTAATATTGCCTGTATCTTGGTGTCATGGCTTTTCATCTAGATGAGTATCTCTCTGCGTTTATAAAGAAAATATAAATGAAAATCAATTCAGTATCCAAAAATTCAGGTGACACGGAATTTCGAGGATGCGTCTATTCTATAAAGTAAGATTATGCCTTTTTGTTTTGGGTCTCTATGATGAAAGAATTCTAGAACAGTAGTTATCCTTGCCTCATACACTAATTGAAAGCACAGGGATCTCTCAGAGGGTACTTTCTGTTTCTGCACCAGAGCTCCTCCAAAAACCGTCACAACGGCAGCAAATTAAACCAGGGGAGCTTGAGATGCCGGGGCATTGTGAACAGGGCCAAGACTGTCCCAAGCTGACTTCATGTGGTGAGGTGCATGACAGGGAACTGAGATAACCACAAAATGTGCACGGATACTATTACGCTGAAGTACACTGATAATAGAGTTAAATATTCTAAATAGTTCATTTCTAAGGGATTACTACACTTCTCCAGAATCAAAGTCATTTATGCCTTTCAACTTATTTGAAAGCTTTTGGTAATAACTCCTCAAATATTCATTGCTTGTCATATTCTAAATAGTGAATTCCTGGATGCAAATACACAAAGCCGTATTAGCACTAATGGACTTATGTATTTGCACCAAGGAAAGAACATACATCTAGAAACCTGTTCTCTGCTGCTCATAGGCAATCATGGTGCATTTTCTCTTGTGGACAAAATAAAAATGCATTGCTATTTATGTGGAACCATTCAAGTGTTACAGGCATTTCTATAACATCCAAGAATGCATTGGCCATGACCAACTAAAGTCGTTTTTGGCTTATCATCATTCAAGCTGAATTAATAATATTAAACAGCATGTGGGATGAGGGAAAACACAGTGCAGAGCAACATTAAAATCCCTTTCCACCCAGGCATAATTCATTTTGATCTTTACTACTTGATTCAGCTAAAGGTCAAACCATATATGATGGTTTAGATCCAGAAAATATATTATTTCGCTGTGCAGTATGGTCCGAAATGAGGGCAACTAATTTAAAAATGGATGCAATTTGGAAAATATAAATGTAATGAAAAATGCCTCCATTATGAAGTAGATAAATTAAGCTCTACTATTGATTACTGCCAACATTTAAAATCTCCCCACTCATACTGGTAATGCCTTTAGTGTAACTTAATTTTCTTCCTATTGTGTCGATGCCTCAATGAACATCACTCTGGTGAGGGACCAAACACAGGTCAGAAATGTTAGTGATGATAAATTACAGACCTTAATAACTTCTGAACAGTTTTAAATGTACAAGTCATCTAGGAGTCATTTAGCTCGATAGATGAATGGTTAACGAACTACATACACTACTAAGAACGATGTGTTAGTCTGTACCACTACATGGCATAAGGCCAAGATCTAATAAAGAATAAAACTGGGCTTTGGAGCATATACAACTGGAGAAAGAAAAAAAGTGGATTATCTTATTAAAAGACTGTATGAGCAAAAATCACTCATGAATTTATACAAATAATTTATGAGCACAAAAGGCTTTATTAAAAGACTGTCCAGATTCATAACCGACAGACGGCTGAAATGTGACCAGGTTTGGGATAGGGAAAAAACAGGCAACGAGTAGATTCAGGTGTTTGCTTGGTCATTTGGTATTTTTCCTTTCAACGAAAGGGGGTGTGAAAATCTTCATCTTTCTTGCAGACTGTTTGGACTGGGGCTTTTGTACTTTAAGTGTTACTCCCATTTTTTGCTCTTGGGCAAGTCACAAGCAACATGGGCTGCCCTCCAGCATCCTCCTGAGGGACAGCCACAGAGCAGGTTCTGGAAGGAACCCAAATCAGTCCAACTCCAAGGAGTCTAAAGCAGTTCTAATATGGAGAGACTTAAGAATCAAGCTAAAAGAGGCACAGATTGAACAAGTGATAGTTTCCCCATTACTGAATTAAGCCTGACAGGTGACATCTTGCCTGGTGTAACAGTGAAGAAATCTTCACTAATCCACCCACTTCAGTCATTTCTCAAGAGTCATCTGCCTGCCGCCATATCACAATCGCCAAGGCAGCTTGTTTAAAACGTGTACTCCTAAATTACCTGCCAGGCCTCTGGTAATAAGATCGCCAGTCTTTTACAAGCAGCCCTGGAGATCCTCGGGAGCCCTGAAGCTTGCGAGCTCTGGTGCTGGGAGGCAGGCCCAAGTGGTTCTTCTTTCCACCACACGTGCACGGCTCCCACGGCTCCTCTCACTTCCCACCATCACACCTACGGTGCACACGTCAGCAATACAAGACGCACGAGACTCTTTAAGAGCAGCATGAATGAACGGATAAATGCGTGAATGAGAAAGTTAATAGTATTTCTAAAATAAAACAGGAATTCTGATTCCATTAGAGTTGGCTCTAGAAATCCATTCACAGCCTTCTAAAAATCCCCACAGTGCTCCAAACTACTCACTCTATATATTTGGCAGTATGATCTGAGCTTCCCAAATACTGATCACAGTAAACTGTGGAAAAAAGAAAGAAGAGGAAATGAAAAGCACTGATTCTGATTTCTCAGAAACGTCATGATGCTGTGCTGCTCTCTACCCTGCATAGCTGGCTGGCAGACACCACCGTGGTCCCAAAGCACATCTGCTGTGAAAGCCGTTGCTTAGCAACAGCAATCAATGCTGTATTTCCTCTTCACCATTTGCCTAAAGATTGAGACACTGCTTCAAGGTATTATTTTCAAATACCTTCTGTTTCACTGACCAAACATGTTTGTTAATTTTTCTATTATGCGAAAAGAAATCGGGAACCAAATCAGCATAGGAATTCAAGAAAAAAGAGAGAAGGTCAGTGTAACACAGGGTGCTTTGGGATTTGTTTGATGAAGAAAAATTCTTTGACAGCTCATTGACTTTATTTGCTATACCCTTTCATTCTGCCATTTTAGAATTGATTTCTGCTAGCTCATGGGATATGAAAGCCATTAGCATGAATTATCATTCTAAATGCAGATCCACAAGGTACTGCCATAAAACACAAAAAGCAAATGATTTTCAGAAACTGGTTTAATATACATCTCACATCTCCGTTAAAGCTCATGTCTTGGTTACATTCTTACTAACCACTAGCAGCATTTTCCAACATCTTTTCACTGATAGTACAAATCTTTCAGATAAGCAAGGCTTATAATCTAAATTACTTGGTGCTTCTGATATATTTACAAGGTAAATTATATACACACCATACAACACCGACTTTGAAGAAGCAGATACGAAATTTTATTTTAAATACACCAATATGTCCTACCAATGAATGGGTTCTTCATACAAAAAACACGAATGAAATCCAGGAACTTCATGTGATACTTTCTAATAAAAAGAGTTGATATTTGCTTTAAGTATGTGCACAATCAGTGGTGGACCCATATGGGTGGGTATAATGTGATAATTATTTTCCACATTTATTGACTGCCTACTAGTATAAATCTCTATGGGCAGCATAAAGATGAGTAAAATGTGATCCCTGTAGAAATCTTCTGCTAGAAACAGTCACATCAAGAAGTAATACAGAAGAATATAGATTTTACCTCAAGTATTTGTTTAGTTGCAACAAGTGTCCCAATTAATATGGATTATATCTGCAACACAGACTAGATGAATAAATCATAGTCCGAGACCTTTATTTTTTATGATAACATTCAGCATTGGTAAGGATGTAGTGAGATAAAAATGTCATAGTTAACTGTAAAAGACATCAGGCCAGGAAACTAAATCAA